TCCGCTCCGGATTTCTGCGCAGGGGCTCCCTCAGCCTCCCCTCCCGGTTGCAGCACCCATCACCACCGGAGGTTGAAGCGATTCGAAGTAACTTGGAAGTTTTTCCACGGCTCCGTTCATTGGGGAGGCAGGAGTGATGCCACGCAGCGTTTCAGCATGCATCTCCCTCAAACACCCCCCGTCCCAGCTGCCGACCAGCTTCCCGCCTACAGTCCTCTGTCTAAGGGCTTTGTGGCCATTACCTCATGTTTTACGTGTATGTGATTGGGTTTTTTGGTTTTAAATCCCCTGCTGAAACAGCTCAGCCCCACGTCATCTCGTAGAAAGTCATTTTCTAGGCTTGAGCTGACATCCAAGACCTCTGCTGCCGGTTTCCCTCTATTCTCTGCGGGACAAATGTAAAGAGACAGGAGTGCTGCTGCTATTGTGCACTTTATTTCTAATGGTCCTCTCACCGAGGATCCCAAAGCACTTTTCAGAGTCTGCACATTGTTTCCAGGTTACGGGTGGTGACGCTGACAGCAGATGGAACGACTTGCTCGGGGACAGACGGACGCCCAAGCAGGAGCTAGAAGCAGAACTCCAGCCGACTCCTAAGCTGCTGTTCAAACTTGAGTATCGCCCCTGCTGGGATGAGTGTAAGTTGGATCGCGTGGTGACATGCGTTCCCTGTTCGTTTCAGGGCTATTGAAAATACATCACTGAGCAATCAAATACAAGCTGATGTCCTGTCGAGGGCCAAAGTACCAGTTACCTTCACCTGCAGAACCTTGCTTACAGCTTTGGGTACAGGACCCAAGCTCTGCACAGTGAAAGGAGAGGAAAAACAAACAAACAAAAGCCCCCCAACAGAGTGGGGGGAAAAGAAGAGCCATTAAAGGAGGGGCGAGGGCCCAGCTGAGCGTGACTCCGAAGACCCCTGGGAGGGGACGCTGCGAGTGCGCCTGCGGGAGGTTTGTTTGGCAGCTCCGTGCGGGGCAGCACCTCCCCGGCCCCCGCAGAAACGAAACAGAACGAGCCACCAACACAGAGAGGGAAGGAAAGACGCGGGCGCCTAGGCGCACACACACACACGCTGCGACACGGTGGGGTGAAACATTGACATTTATATCGAAATATGCACTAACAGAGTGAGTTCTACCAGCCGATGCATTTTTGCCAAAGCAGAATCACAATTTTTTTGTCCCGGGGAAGGTTCAGGCGGTGAGCGGTGAGAGGGCAGGGCCTCCAGGCAGGCAGGGAGGGCAGCGCAGAGGGAGGGCAGGCAGGGAGGGCCTCGGTTCACAGACGGTACGGGCTTTCCTCCTCACAGGTCCCATCCCGCGGTCATCCTCCCGTCCCCCTGGCAAGAGACTCTTCCTGTCCTTTCACATCTTTTGGTTTGTTTTTCTCTCTGCTGCAATAAATATGAAACTGGCAACGCTCGCACAGATGGAATAGCAGGCTCCGGCACGGAGCTGTCAAATGCAACCGGGATGTTTACGGAGGGGAGAAGCCCCACAGGGCCGGTTCCTTCCCAGCCAACCCTGAACAATGACACGGCACCCGCTGGCCGGGCAGGGGGAGCCCAGCCCCGACCCCAAGGGACATCAGCGGCCCAAAGCTGGAACCGAAGCTTTTCTACACGTCTTGCGACGAGGCGCTGGGTTTTTAGTACTAGGTCAGCGAGGAGGGAGAACCCCTCCTTGCCCTCCCACAAAACCTCGCAGTTGTGAGCGAGACAGTTTCTCACTAGGCAGCGACAAGCAGAGCTAAAGTCTGAGCGGAGAGGAAGCCGTCCTGGCTTTCTTTACGCAGCGCCAGCAGTATCGGAGACGGTTACGGGAGCAGAGAAGGAGGGCCGTGAGCACTGAACCAAGCACAGAGCGTGGCACCTTAGCAAGCCAAGCCTAAGCAGAGCCAGCAGAGCCGTCCTCAGTCACGTTGCGGAAGGCTCAGGAGCCTGCCAGACCTCTCGGTCCCCTCGGCACCCTGCCAAGAGGGGCTGACTCACAGCTGAGCACAGCCTCGGCTGCCCGGGTGCCGAGTTGAGAAGTCAGAGCTTTTTACTGGAGTACGTTCCTGGTTAGCATCTCTTTAGCCAAATGCAGAGACAGCGGGGAGGGAAGCAGGGATGCGTAGATTAAACTAGCACACTGCCTTTTCACGCAAGCCTAGAAACCTGAAAAGCTCAGCGGGAGCAGAACGTGTTTTATCCCGTCTCCCTAAGGGGTGCGTGGGGGGTGGGAAGTCCTTTCCCCAGGAATCCTCCACTGCAGTGTATTTTTGATTTTCCACTCTCCGTGGCCCCAACTTCTCCAGCCAGCATCTTATCGGAAGCGTGAGCAACGTTCCCTTAAAGCCCGTCCTGCAAGGCAGCAGAGCTCCAGAGCGCAGAGGCCGAGCGAGCCTCGGGGAGCAGCGCGTCCCTAGGCTGGTTCGCGAGGGTAGGACTGTAATCCCTCCTCTACCACGGCACTCCAAAACTTCCTATTTCTGATCCTGGCAAGTGGAACGCTTCATCTTTCCTTCATCTGTGTGTAGATCACATATACTGGAAACAAAACACACACTATGCATGCAATCCAGGCAGAAATCCTGCTATGATCAAATCTACAGGAAGAGGGGAATGTAGTGGGGACATTAAAGTATTCCTTAATGCTAGGTTATAGAATGCTAGGTTATAGACTGCATTAAACACCAGCACCCTTTATTATAAAAAAGGGCAGACAGACTATATACAGTACCTATGTACTTCATTGCAGCAGGGCACAGCAAGCAACCCGGACACCTAAACACCCCTCATTCGGAACACGATATGAAGCGCCCGCTAAGAAGCCATCCGTTCCTCTGCGATTTACCTGCCGAGACGAGCACGCGTGACCGCAGATCCCGCTTACACGGAAGCCGCTGCGTTGGCGGCTCTCGGCCAGCTACCACAGCATGAACCACAGCGAGGTCTGCGCAGCACCGCCAAGCTCCGACTCTGGCAGGTAAGCCAAGGAGGAACAGACTAGGTTTAAAATTGTTTTATTTGCAAGTGTAGTTATCTATTCACCTAGGGCTCTGCCTTCTGGGTCCAAACCAATTTCTTTCTGAAAAAGAGAACCTTTCACTTTTAAATGAAAGGCTGTTTTTCATAATAGGCTGCAACCAGCCCTCGTTACAAAAAAACCAAACCAAAATCCCACCTAGTCGCAGCCCCTGTAGGAGGGCACCTGCCCCTCCGGCTCCCTCGGCTAGAGGCGAGGAGCACTGTCCAGGGCGGGAAAAGCTACAGCTTGACTTCACTTTTTACTGTAAGAGGCTCCATAAAATGTTTATACAAGTAAAACAGAAGCGATAAAGAAATATACACCTTGGAATCTGTAAAGCTTCGGACTGATTTAGGCCTTGCAGACGGCGGCTATTCATATGGGTTTCCTTTAGAAAAAAAAGGATGTAACAGTCATACTTAAAAAAAAAAAGAACAACGAACAGCACTGCAAAGAGCCCTGCGGCACAGGCATCTCGGAGGAATGAAAAGTCAGTTCTAGAGTAGCGAGGAAGTGACTGCCTTGTGCGGTGTTTACTGGATAATTAAAATCCTAAACTGAGCAACTGCTAAAAGCCAGCGACACCACACGCAGACAGGAGCAGAGAACAGGACAGCCAGCAGCATCTGAATGAGAACATCCCCAGGGAAAGCTACGTGGGAGGAAAGGTGCCCCGGCTAGTAGGCATGGTGAAAGAAGCACAAGAACAAGCACCTGGGAGTGTCACACGAGTTCGGTTAACCGTTCGTTTCTTTACATTTCTGAATTCCAGTTTCGTGCTGCTTCAGAAAGAAGGAGTGAGAAAGCAACACGTGTCACTTAAAACCCCCCAGGAAAAAAAAAAAAAACCCAGAAACCTTTAAAAGGTGGGACCGAGTTGGGAAAAATGCATCTGTTCTGGCTTTTGCAAGTGGAATGTGATTCTTGTTCACAGGCTAATACACAGAGCACAATCCCTACAGCCGGGAACGGTGAGCCAGGAGCTGTGCGCGGGCTGTCAGAGACAGGCTACAAGGGTTCTAGGACAACCACAGAGCAACAAGACATGAGAGGGGCACAGAGTGACAGCCCTGTTCTCAGTTTAAATGAGGAATGGTTTAAAAGTAAAACTCGTCTTCAGCTAATTTCCTCCTGCAATAAAACCAACCAAGCCGGCCCTCGTATGTACAAGACCAGTTAAACATTAGCCTTCCCCCTCAAAACACTAGGTACGAACATCCGGTAACATTCTACAATGGAAAGTGCTTTAAGAAAGAAGGATTCTGTAGTGCCAGTGACAGAACTGATCTGATGGGCTGGGTGATGCTGTTAACGCTGACGTCAGCTACTCAGGCCAGGGCAGCTCGTTTCTCCTCGGGGGTCTCCTCCAGCAGCTGCATGATCAGTTCATGGAGGGGTTTGCAGATCTTTGCGTAGCCCCCTCCCGTCAGGTGCAGGAAATCAAACATGTCGTGGTACGAGATGGTGCCATCTGAGTGCACAAAGCCGACGTCCACATCCAGAAGCTGGACGTTGGGCAGTTTGGGGAGCGAGGCTTTTAGCAGATGATTCACCTTGGCATTCTTCTGCCGCAGCGGGTTTGGCTTCTCTCCACGAGGTAGCAGGCCCTGGCACAACAAGGAGGCAAAAAAGAGCTTCATACGACTTTGATGGCATAACAATGCCTGCTTTCCCTTCCAATTCAGGCTGCCTTTCGAGATTTAAGAGCTCTGTGACAAGAGGAACTCATCCCTTGAATCAGACTTTGTCCATCAGACCTAATTTGAAATGCAACTGAAGGAGGCAGATGAGCTACAAGCACAACTGGCGCAGCACCTGCTTCCTTTTTTTTTTTCCCCCTTAATGTATCAGTTGTGCTCCTTGAATAAGCTTTCAGCAGTGCACTGAATGCCATCGCCCAGCTTCTCAATAGGAGAGGCACCGGCTAACCTGCCGAGACAAGGAAGCCAACCAGGATTTCCAATGCCAGCTCTGATCTGGACACCTTTTTTCCCCTCCCAGGACTCCTTCAGCAACATTTCTAAGTGGGACAGCAATACCGCTGATGGGAATGACTACACCCATCTCTGGAGGGGCTGAAAGGACGACTTCTGCAAAGCCAAGTGACCGAGGGGAGGCACGCACAAAGCAGAAGACAGATAAAGCGACTGCCCTCCCCCGTAACGGTCAGTAACTCCCAGTATGGCAGAGGCACGCTGCAGAGAACTCGGGGCTTCCTCAGAGCAGCTTGTTTTCACAGCGCTCCAAGAGACGTACCAGTACAATAACTTTGGCCTGTGGCTGCTGGGTGTTTATCAGGCGCACGATAGCCTCGATTCCACCTGCTACTTCTTCTGCTGTGTTTTCATGATTATTTGTTCCAACCCAAACAACAATGACCTACAAGGAGAAAAAACGTTTGCAACTTTTTCAGGACGAGTTGTAATAGGCTTGCTGACCCTGAAAACCCTGTATAAACATCATCTGCGACCAGCAAGCTACATGAAGAGCCAGGCTTAAGGCTAAACCCAGACTGCAAGAGGTCTTCAGCTGTCAGTTATGTTTCCGAAGAGCATCTTACGAGCTTCTGTTTTGGCCCTCAGTAAGGACAAAGAACTGGTACTACTGAAGCTTTTCTGGACAGCCTAAGAGATGTCTGAGCCCACCCCACTTCAGAGCCTCCTGGCCACCATACTCGCAGGAGCCCACACTGGTCAAAAAGAGGGTAACGTATATTTATGCAGTATAGCGTAAGCTCCTTAGGGAGTAAGGAGCTCCGCTTTTTGCTTTAAAAGATTGTAAACTGTTAAATAGCAGACTCGAATACGAGCGACACTGCCTCCCTACCTGGGGCATGTGCTGCGTAACGGCACCTTGATGCACTGTCCACCGCCTTCACTAAAGATGCCCGCAACGGGGCTGCAGCTGTAGGTGCAGACTGGGAAGTTGATCTTCACCACGCATCCCGAACACCTTTGCTAACTCTTTATCAAAACCTTCACCACCCCCTTCTGAGGCAGAGAATGCATCTCAGGCCCGAGAGACACACTGCAACTCCAAACTACGCCTAGCTATAGTAAATCATAGGCCTGATCAGCATTTTTGCTAGGACTAGAAGGTGGCCTCTATTTATTGATGATACCTTCCAGTTTGCACGTTCAGCAGTGTAAACCCGTGTATGAGACGTACAGCTCTGTTCCCAAACAATTCTGGTTTAGCCAAACACATTTCAATACCTGACGCACACTCAGTGCCAACGGCTGCTCAAACAAAAAGTTCCGTCAAGAGTAACAGCTCACTCAGTTCTGCACCACTCAAGCACTGAAGTCTCGTCTAAGTCAGCACAGGGCTGCCTGCTTTGGTTTTCTGCTTATACCTTCGGTTTAATGTTCTCCAGTTCACCATTCTTCAGTCTCCATAGAACGTGTCCTGTGGTGTCTCCACCAATCCCAAAATTCAATGCATGAAGTGGTGAGAAGAGCTCTCGCCATATCTGCAATCAGAAATCAATTTGCTATTTCAAAGCAGCATCCTGATCATGAAAGACACCACACAGGCAAGTGACATCTTCAAGGACAAAGAAAGTAGCCGCCAGACATCCTCCGAAAACTAACTTCCATAAAGGGCATTTAAACACAGGACGAGGCTTTACTCGAGGTCCAGAAGAGATGGAGCTGCTGATGTTCAAACACTCCGTTCTGGCACAAAGGAAGGGGAAGTGCTCTCCAGCAGCCATTTGCCCAACTTGTCAGAGACACAGAGAGTGCTGGACCTGTTGCAGACCACCGTGTCCCTCCCTTCCCTAAGTACAGGGCTTCTGAAGCAGGTATCTATGACCTGAAGAACTCCTTTTCATCACCAGGTAAGAAAACTAGAAAAAACGGAAGCAGCTCTCGCAGACGAAAGCTGCTCCACTGCCACCACGGCGGAGCAGCAGAACTCTTCTTTGCCCCAACAGTTTTAGAGAAAAGCCAGTGTGCCAACGCCTATAGCACCCCAAGGGCTACAGGGCTAAAAGTGTTCTGGCCACGCAAGATACACCTACAGAGATTCTGATGGCGTGCCCTCGGGAGTTTGGAATCTGAGATTCAAGGAACTAGCAAGGGGTTGTGGCACGTGTGTCAAAATGGAGGCAGTCAGTAACGGCTTCAGAGGAAGACTGCAAATGGCTTACAGAGATAAACCGGCAAGACTTTGTACAAGCACTGGGAAGCTAAGGAAGCAGGGGAGAATAAACTGAAGGGATGGCAGTAAAATCGGAACAGAACAGAAGCCATTGTCAATATTGCACGTGATCAGCAGTTACTGGATTAGTGAGAGAAACACTCTAATTCCTAGAACCCCACCATCCTCCCTCCTTTAACGATACCTCATACTGCTGTAGCAACTGCACCATGGAGTCACCCACGAAGAGCACGTCGGGCTCCTTGTCTTTGCAGTCCAAGACAAATCTATTGTGCTGTTAAAAGAAAGCAGCAAGGTAAGCTCCAAACGATAGTTCCTCATCGGTATCTCTGCTGCAGGACAGAAAGGGACAGTTGCCCAACCAGTTTCCCCTGCTGCCGGACTGTCCTATTCCCTCCAACACCCTTCCCTGCATTAACCCGTCAACCGCTGGACGCTCCTCCCGACTACAGAGACCCCAGCAACAATCTTGGTTCCAGTAAGAGCAGCACCTACACGCTACACGCACGTAAGCCGTGAGCCTGTCAGACGCCCATTATATTCAACAATTACAGAAGAGAGAAATTAACGGTTAGTCACTGCAGCGGGTATCCTCTGGCTATTTCTCCCTGTCTAGGAGAAAGCGCCACAGCAAGGGACGGGCAGTCCAGACACTTCGCCTCTGCTATTTTCAGCTTCGTCACTCCCTCGCAAAGACGCACGCTGGAAAGCGCTGCTTTGCACTTTGTTTAACACAGGGGCTGGCAATTTCTAATGGGCCAGCTGGAGTATTTTCTGAAACGGTTTCACAGGCCAGCTTTCAGGTCGCGCAACGACGCTGCTTTTTGCCTTGCTTCATCGTTCCAAGACAGACACGTACCGGCAGCCTGCCAGCTTTGGGGCAGCAGAGCTGTTACATCCTCGGAATGGGAACTGTGGCCAGACGGGGCCCGTGCAGCGCTCACCCAACAGCCCTCCCAGTAAAGAGGAGTCGACCTCATACGACCGCCGCCCCTCCCAGCCTTACCTGTGACATCCACCTGTCGTCTCCCTGAATATCTTCAGCGGCGTGTGGAACTGCGGCTGGGTTTGAGTCTCCCTGGTTCATTCTGTTCCTGCGGAAAGAACGTTTCAGACGAGCTGCTTTCAGCGGCTATCGCAGCGTGCTAGCGCTGGGGAAAAGGCTGGCTGGTGAGAAACCGCTGCACTTCCTGACATTCACAATGGACAATTCATGCCTATTCCTACGCGTGTTGACTTCTGGCTGACAACAAAATACATTTTATTCCAAGCACGACCGCCAGACCGACTCCGCAGACAGTCCTCCTGAAGCCATCTACCGACTGGCCACCTAGGCATGCGAATACAACGTTATGAAAGCAAAGCAAAGCTCATTTCAGAGGATGTTCCGCAGAAGCCCACCTCAGCTACGCAAGGCTTTAATAACGTAATAATAAATGCTAATAGTCTGAGGATTAGCCCCTATTAGTATCAAGATATCCAGCTTACAACTACTGAGCTCCGCAGTTCAGGTGGATTATCTGGCTTCAGGAGACAGTGCATCACAGCGGTATTGATCCCGACGGATCTACACCA